TTGTAAACCATAGATATTTTAGATGTATGTTGTTAACACTGATTGGCAACCCTGAATTAAATTAAGGAAGGATGATTGAGGTTATGAAGAGTATGATGAGTACATGTCACCGTTTTATACTCATATTTATGTACTTTTAAGAAAACTATTGCAATGACTGCTGTTCAGGAATCTTCGTGTAGGCTTTGCCTTAAAATTATAACCGATAAAAGTTTTGAAGTAATTGACAACGCAGTTAGAGGTATTCTAGACGCTCTTTGGCTAAAATTGGTAAGTCAGTTAAATGTATTAGATTCCAGTGTCTTAATTCATTTCATTTCTGCTATCCTTATTTTCTTTCTGTTTAGTTAAAGTTGTATATTTTTCAGAGAATTGACAGCCAAAGCAGAGAGGTAATATGTAATTATTGCAGAACAAACTTGAATGCAGCGTTAGAATTTAAGTCAACCTGTATGAAGACCGATAACACAATTAATTCGTATGTGGATCGCGAGAAAATGTTAGAACTGAACTTAATAGAAGTTTATATGAAGGAGAAGGGAAGCGAGCAGTCAACGGGTATCTCATACGATCAAAAAGTATGTCGGTTGTGTATGCAGCTAGAGCAAAGTGAATTTAAATGCATTGGTGAAGAGGAACTCGAAGCTATTCAGACAGTCATCCCCGAAATCGTATGTATGCTGTTATAGTAATTTTTTATTAAAAAAATAATGTAATTTTGAGAACAATCTTGAGGACTGTTGAAAGTCGGCATCATTTTACATGCTAACCCTTGACATACTGTGCGACGCACAAATGTACCCCTTTATTTTTAAAAATAAAAAAACAAATATTTTCTAAATTAAATTTTTTTTAGTTGGGGGTACCAATGTATTCCGCTCGGTATGCCATGTAACTTTCTTAGCATATGACGGGAGTTAATTTTATGTGGCTATTATAAAATAACCCTATTTTAGAATATCGCCATCGTCAAAGATCCTGTTCTATGTAAACCCTGCTTTGACTCTCTGTGCGCTCACAGTGCTTTTCTGGCACATTGTTTAGAAGTAGAGGAAAATATCAAAGACACTCTTGAGAGTTCGGCTACAGAGAGTCAAACAGACACGTCACCTTCCGATTTATTCATTAAAACTGAAGGCCTGACCGAGGAATCAGAAATTAACAAAGTTGAAATGTTAATCAAAGCCGAGTGCGTCGATATAAAATCGGAAGAAGATGAACGAAGGTGAGGATTGCAATTTAAAGCTTCTATTTATTATATAAGGTTTTTGTGCAGCAACCACAGATTCTTCAGGTAAAATCAATTGAATTTAAGTCAAGGGGTGTTTGCATCAAAAAGACGTGTAGCGTTTTGTCACTGTAAATTATGTAAACTTTACTTTACTATGCATGTTGTTATTACAGAAAATTCTTGTGTACGTAACTCCTCTCTATGTCCATACTAGTAAATAGAAAGAGTACAGTAATATGAGATTTTAGTTGAACTTCCTGTTAAGAGATGGCGTAATTGAGGCATAGTTTTGCACGACACATCGGTCTGCCAAATTATATATCATACAAAAATAAAACAATACAGGGCAAGTATTTCGTCGCATAATTCTATTTTCTGTTATTACCTCAAAAGATGGCAAACACCCCATTCCCAGATATTAATGAAAAGCCATCTGTTGCTGCTGTATCGCTACCTTTTTTGGAGACAAATCTGTATATGGAGTTCTTTTTAGAGATCCCATGCTGTTTCACTCGAAAAACGAAATATTCGATGCAGAGGATAATGGATTTGAAGTTTTGTGGAAACACAAGATTAAATCTATGAACGAGTGTGGTACAAAAACAAGACAGGAGAGCACTTTGAGCAACAATTGTGGTAAAGGTGTTTATGAAGCTGAAAGTATGGCCCATTATACGACACATGAGAACGCCTCGGAAATGTGTAAATGCGAAACTTACGAATACGTAACTGAAAATAAGAGTTCAGAGGTTCTAACCTACCCGTGCATCTACTGCGATTATAAAACTAAACAGAAGTGGGCCCTGGTGAGTCACATGCTGAAACATAAGGACCCCCTGCAGGTGTCGATGTACAAGTGCGACATTTGCGATTACAAATCGAAATACAAGAGCAACGTGACGTACCATCAGAAAACGCACAAGGATTCCTCGCAGGTCGTAATGTACAAGTGCAACGACTGCGACTATCAAACTAGGCACAAGACAAGCATCAAAGGCCACCAACTGATCCACAAGGACCGTTCCCAGGTGCCGTGGTACAAGTGCGACCAGTGCGAGTACGAATCGATATATAAGAGGAACGTTGCCACTCATCAGTTGATACACAAGGATCCGTCCGAGGTCAAAATGTACCAGTGCAAAGACTGCGATTACAAAGCTAAACGTAAGTCGTCTCTTGTACGACACGCGTTGAGGCATAAGGATTCTTCGCAGGTCTCGATGTATAAGTGCGACGTTTGCGACTACGAATCGAGGTATAAGAACCGTCTGACTTACCATCATTTGTCGCACAAAGACTCTTCGCAGGTACAAATGTACAAGTGTAACGACTGCGATTATAAGACGAAGCGCAAGAGTAATATGAAAACTCACTTGTTGATCCATAAAGACCGTTCACAGGTGCCGAGGTACAAGTGTGACGACTGCGACTACGAATCCATATACAAGAGAAATTTCAATTTTCACCTCCTGACGCACAAAGATCCGTCCAGGGATCGAACGTTCCGGTGCGACGAGTGCGATTTCGAAACGAAGCATAAGAGTTCTTTCAAGAGGCACCAGTTGAGGCACAAGAAACGTACGTCGGCGGATGTGATTGTGCCAGATGGATAGACCACGACGAATTGATTTAGGTGCTCTGTGCTCTTTTTTCGAGTTCAGTGGTACAAACCGATTCCTATTTTAGATCGTCTGCATAAAAAAAGTCTAAAAGAACTAATTTCATCATTTTAGTCGTTAAGTTATAAAGCAGAGCTGAAGGGGTCCAAGCGTGGGACCTTGGGGAACACCCGATGCACAAACACGACGAAACTAGATAAATATTCTGACCAAAGACCCCTCGGTTATATGGGTAATTATTTACTATAGCATAAAATACGCAAATCGTCACAAAAATTTTGCCGTCACCTTAGTTTGGAGGGTGCTGAACACAGATCTGAAGTTATTTTTGTGCGGTTGTTTCGAGAAAAACAATTTTCAAAATTCTGACTTGGACATTTCACAGAACGCTACTATCGAAATAAATTAAATAGGCCCCTGAGTTTGGAAATCGATATTAAGAAAACGTAACGGCGAAAAAATTTAAAATTTGGACCATATATAACCTCACTATTATTCTATTGTGTGCTAAAATTTCAGTTAGTTTCGTTTTCCCATTTTTTAGTTAATGAAAATGTTGAAAAAAATCACGGTTTTCTGCCTACAAAATTGACACCTCTCACTTTAACTCGTAATTTTTTTGTTAATGGATAAAAGAATTTCAAATTTTTACTGACGATAAGTCGAGCTATCGTCTTTAGTACTGTGAAGGTCGTTTGCCTCAAAAACTTTTCTTTTTTTATTTTTAAGCAGAACAGAAGGGAATGCTATCTCTGTAAATATTGCGTTCTTTTTTTTTTAAAAAAAAGTAAAAATAATACAGTTATAAATATGACGATCTTAAAAACAGGATCGGAATGATCGGTTACTTTCACGGTCTGATCGAAAAGTGCAAGGTAAGAGGTTCGTTGCAGCGGCGTTGCTAACAGTTTTGATGGGATTTCCTCAGTTTGCTTCGACAACCGACGGCGACGGGATGATTTCTATTTTTTTTTTTACCTATAAAGATACGTACTGGAATTCAAGAGTAATGGTTTGTTGAAATAAGTAAAAAAGAGGCATTTTATAAAATTATCATTGTCAAAAACAGTATTATTTAACCGTACATTCAAATATTTATTTACTAAGAAATTATTTATGTACTTAATTTGAAGACGTGAAAATTCGAAACAGAAAATTAAACTTAGGGATCAGAAAGAGCTCTTCGGACAAGCTTTTGACAATATTTACGATGCGTTACTTTGAAAATATCGTTTTTGTTACGAAAAGTAGTATGTTGTAAAATACGTAGGGGGTCATCCATAAATTACGTAAGGGTATTTTTTCACATTTTCAACTCCCCCCTCCCCCCATGTAAAGAAACCGTAAGATTTTTCATAACCCCCCNAGATTAAATATAAGATTACAAAATTCCTAATATTTCCGAAAAGTTTGATCAGGTAGCCAATAAAAATGAAAATGAAACGAGTCAAAAAATTATTCTACAAATAAAATACTGCTTGCTACAACACGCTGAACGTCTTCCACATGCCGCCGTCATACCGCGTCGATTTCAATTGAAATACCCTGATCATAGTGACAGGTTCCTTCATTTTTTCAAGTGCTAGCACCTGTCTACCCTCCTTTCAGCTATATGTATTTTTTGTTGAATTATTATTATTGTCCTCCTATAAAAGTTCAATTTTATTTGTCCCTATTAATGTTTTTTTTTCTTATTTAATTTTTTTTGTCGAAAACTACATTCGATCGCAAAAAAATAATTTCAGATTCGTGTTCAGAACCCTTACTACTAAAGGACTAAAGGATACATAGCGACATCTACTAAATGTCCTTTTTCTCTGTTTTCCTGTTCCACTTTTTTAGCATGTCAAATCTTTCCCAAAGTTTTGTTTATTTTGCGATACATTTCAAACCGCTTAAATCACGATGCAAAATATTATTTATACATAAATAACATTAAAGATAACATAAATGTGCCACTTACTGCTCAATAACAATTTTAAAAACATGTCTAAAAATATTTTTTGTGGTAACACTTAACACTAAACCAGACAGATTAAAAATAAGATTACAAAATTCCTAATATTTCCGAAGAGTTTGATCAGGTAGCCAATAAAAATGAAAAAGAAACGAGTCAAAAAATTATTCTACAAATAAAATACTGCTTGCTACAACACGCTGAACGTCTTCCACATGCCGCCGTCATACCGCGTCGATTTCAATTGAAATACCCTGATCATAGTGACAGGTTCCTTCATTTTTTCAAGTGCTAGCACCTGTCTACCCTCCTTTCAGCTATATGTATTTTTTGTTGAATTATTATTATTGTCCTCCTATAAAAGTTCAATTTTATTTGTCCCTATTAATGTTTTTTTTTCTTATTTTTGTGCTGCCCTTACAAATGTATTTGCAGTGGGAGGACATCAATGGCATTACAATTTGCAAGTGGTGGATTGAAGCAGAAAATAATTTTTAATTATTAAATACATCTTTTTTCACTTGAAATTTGCAAAAATGTGTTTCATAAACAATGTTTAATCCCCATTATAGTTGTTCTGAAAGATACATCAAATATACAGCTTTGTGTGTAGTGGTCTGTTCTTGAAAACTAGGTTCGATTGCACAAATATAACTTTAGATTCATGTTCAGCACCCCCGAAAATTGGAGGGAATAGGAAAATTTTAATGATGATTTGGGCATTTTATGCTATAGCAAATAATTACCGTTATATATATATGATTTGTCCTTTCTGAAAAATAAGCAAGGGGCACATTTTCTTAGTTTTTTTGCAAACACACTTTGGAGTTACGGCGGGCATTGTTGTGGGGAATTTTAGGAGAAAGTCTATTGTCCTAAATAAAATAAAATTTAATTCTTGTAAACAAAATAAACTATCGAACAGTAGCATGTCAAACAGTGACAAATAAAGATTAATGAAAATAAAAGGAAATAAGTAAATAATCTCACCTGATTTTTACAGCATGTGCTCAAAATTTCTTTAAATGCTGTTGAAACATGCTTCATCACGTTTTATGTTCATCTTGTTAAAACTCCATGTTCTGCTGAGCGTAGTGGTGTTCAAAGCTCCCGTAATGTCTTAAAAGTTGAACCAATCGTACAAACATTTCCTTTGGTACTTATCGGTTGGCGTAATCTATACATCTGATATCAACGCTTGCAGCCGCTCTTGTTTTGTTTGTTTTCTTACAATATTACACAAATTTGACAATGAAAATGAAGACACAAACACCGGATATTCAGTAGATAGCTTTATAAAGTTGTACACTACACAAAGACAAAATAATAATAATCCTTTAGCCAATTTTGTTGAAATTTGGCAGTGTTATTTATGGTAGAAATGGGTTAATTCAACCCTAACTAGATTAAAATTATTAAGTCCAGAGGTGTCCCGGGGGCATCTTAACCAATATTTTTGATAAAAAATTGTGCACCTATGAGTTTTTAACTTTTATATTTTTTTCGCAGTAAACAACTAAAAATGCAACTTTTTTGTCTCTTAAATTTTTTTCATATCTTGTTTCTTTTTTGGAGAAAAAAAATATGGTAGTTGTTGGTAAAAATGTGCCTATATTTTTTGATAACGAGGAGTGGAATGCATACTGTTTTTAATGGTCCAGCCCATTTTCTTTTATAGAGCTGTGTAATGAAAAATATGGATTTATCACGAAATTAATTTTTTATTAAATCTTCATAACGCTATGAAAAATGAAAATTTCGGTTAAAATCAGATTCTGTGCCTTATTTAAGTCATAACTGTTCATTGTAATATTGTCTAAAGGACTATAAAGGTCTATAAACATTTGATTTATCCAATAATATAATATTACTATATAATATCTTAATATAATACTTATATTAAGAATCTGTACAATTCCTGTCAGATAAGAATTCTTTAATGTTACCAAACCTTCAAGCATCAACTTTCGCGCCCATTTTTCTCAATTTAGTCCCCATTATTGTTTTAAAAAATTAATTACTCTCATACTAAATGGTCAATCATAATTTTTTTGTACTGAAAAAATAAGAAAAAAAATTATTAATTATAGCATACAAAATTTGTGCATAAACGGTAAGTGGTTTATGAGAAATAAAACGAATCCCTATCTCCAATATGTTAATTCTTTAAACATTGAAAATTGATTTCTAAAAAATGCAATGGTCAATATATTTAAAATTTAAATATGTTATTCAGAAGTGCTTTAACTATTGAACTAAAAATTTGCGTACGTATCTTAAGCCTAAATTTTATTCAAAGGAACCACTTAAACAAATAAATCTGTCAGGGTCCAATCGTCATTCAGCAAGTTGTCAGCTACCAATCATAAAAATCTCTAAAAGTGACGTCACGTTGCTTATATCACTATCCTAGTTTCCCGCCCNCATAACTGTTCATTGTAATATTGTCTAAAGGACTATAAAGGTCTATAAACATTTGATTTATCCAATAATATAATATTACTATATAATATCTTAATATAATACTTATATTAAGAATCTGTACAATTCCTGTCAGATAAGAATTTTTTAATGTTACCAAACCTTCAAGCATCAACTTTCGCGCCCATTTTTCTCAATTTAGTCCCCATTATTGTTTTAAAAAATTAATTACTCATACTAAATGGTCAATCATAATTTTTTTGTACTGAAAATATAAAAAAATTATTAATTATAGCATACAAAATTTGTGCATAAACTGTAAGTGGTTTATGAGAAATATAACGAATCGCTATCTCCAACATGTTAATTCTTTAACACGTTAACGGCCAACAGCTTCTTGGTATATTTGTTCACCGGGCCAAATTTTTTTTTTCGTTTTTTTAAGGTGATTTTGAGTTGAAATGTTAAAAAATTTGGTACAAACTAGTTTTAGTTGGTTTTTATAACTAAATTATAGAAAATATGACGACGGTCCCAAGGGACCGCTGCGGCCCAGTGCGAACATTTGTATCGTCGAACCAGAGCGGTCCTTATCGGTCCGTGCCACATGTTGCACTTCAATTCATCAGAATTGCGAGCGTTTGCACGTGTTCATGCTGACAATGAGACCTGCACACTGTATCAACAGTTGTTTAGTTTTTCAGTAATCTTTGGTTTTAGTAATAACAGTGTTGTTACCAAGTGTGTTGTGCTAAAATGGCTAGTGAACGAACGAGAAGAATTGTAAGGCTAGCGAAACTTGCTGCAACTTTTTGCGACGGTGGGTACTATCACATTTTCTTTTATTTTATTTGTAAATGGTTGTGGTATATTAATTTAGGTAATTATTTAGTATACTATTCGCAAATCGTTCTGAAATTTTGGCTCGCCCCCTATTTTCATAGGTCCTGAACACGATTCTGAAATTGTTTTTTGACAAATATAGTTTCCAATAAACATTTTTTTTTAATACAAACCGATAACAGTGCACAAACTGCTATGTCCGTCGTTTTAAATACTATGCACTAGCTAAATATAAGTATGTTCTTATTAACAGCATTTGTAATGAAAATTTGAAAAAAAATTCTAATACAGTCTATTTGCAGTTTCTACTTTATATTTTTTGTACACGAGATTCCATCGCTATATACAAATTGCATTCGCGTCGCGAGCATCTGATTCAAAAGTTTTGAACTTAGAAGGACAATAATATATTTAGGAATTAATTTACTGAAATACATTCCTCGCCCTTCGAAGCCCATAGAAATATGTGTAAAGATCGATTACCCCGTTAGCCTAACTTGTACCACATATGAGATAGATAAATTTTTCGTGTGTAGTGTACTGATCGTGTTAGATTTTAAAACATTTTTTTCCCGAAAACTACATTCGATCGCAAAAAAATAATTTCAGATTCGTGTTCAGAACCCTCAAAAATAGGGGATGGCAAACATTTCATAACGATTTACGAATTTTACAGTATACTAAATAATTACTTGAATTTATATTCTACAGACGACGTAGATTTAGAAGACCGTCAGAGTGACACAGATCCCTATGGCTCATCAGATTCAGTCGAGGACCCACCCTATTTACCAAGTAATCAACAGTCCAACACAGGCCAAAATGAGAGTGCTGAAGATTTTTCGGATAATGATAACACACAGGTAAGAAGTAATGTGACATTTCACATACTCACTATTTCAAATCTATTTTATATCGTAGCGTCACGCATCCACTAGTGAAAATATAGAAAATTCTGCTGAAGTAGCCAATATTGGTTCTAATCTCAGGGAGCCATCCAGTAGTTCTGAATCGGAGGATTCTGTAGACTTGAATGCTGTTGCAGAACCAGAATGGAAAAATCCAGTTGGCAACCATATAGATTTTCCTGATGACTATGTCAAAAAAGGTGGAATAAATCCCGAATTAGCAGCAGCATTAGTAGACTGCAGTCCTTTTGAATTCTTCTCTGTCTTTCTTGATAAAGATGTAATTAATCTGATGGTTGAACAAACAAACTTATATGCTACACAAGTTATTTGTTCAGGAGAAGATATCCCGAAATCTTCTAGACTGCATCAGTGGACTCCCACCACACACGAAGAGATGCTAAAATTTCTGGGGTTGGTAGGTTATATGGGCTTAGTGAAGATGCCAACCATCAGACATTACTGGAGCAGAAAACGTCTTTTTCGTTGTAATGGTGTAGTGTCTAATACAATGAGCAGAAATCGTTTCGAACTCCTTCTGCTGTTGTGGCATTTTAGTGACAACGATTTGTGTCCTCCCGGCGATCGAGCATATAAAATCCAACAACTGCTAGATTTACTAATAAACAAATTCCAGAATGCTTTTACACCAGCAGGCAGTTTTTGTATCGACGAATCACTGATCCCATTTCGGGGACGTCTGGTGTTCAAACAGTACATCCCTCTTAAAACCCATAAATATGGGGTAAAACTATTTAAACTATGTAGTGGTGAGGGCTACACATGGAATTTGAAGTTGTACTGCGGTAAGGAACAAGATGCTAGTGCTAGCGTACCTACAAAAATAGTGATGACGCTCTCTGAAAAGCTGCTAGACCAGGGAAGAACAGCTATAACTGACAATTGGTATACTAGTATAGATTTGGCTAATAAATTGCTAGATCGTAATACCCATCTTTTGGGAACGCTTAGGTCTAACAGGCGGGGAAATCCCAAAGATGTAATACAAAAAAAATTAAAACGAGGAGACATAATAGCCAAAGAAAATGCACGTGGTATCACAATAATGAAATGGAAAGATAAAAGAGATGTGTTGTTACTTTCCACCAAACACACAGATCAAATGTTAGACATTCATGTACGGGGAGAAACTAAAAGAAAACCACAAGCTGTATTGGATTACAATAAGGGCAAGAGCTCTATAGATCTCTCTGATCAGATGGCGAGTTACAATTCGGCACTACGGAAGTCTATAAAATGGTATCGAAAAGTTGTTATAGAAGTTCTTTTCGGTACTTCTATGGTCAATGCGCACTATTTATATAAAAAAATCAATGAAACTAATACGACAATAACAGAGTTTCGGGAAAGCGTGTACGAGAAAATGATTTTTCCAGAGCTACAGGACAATATGGAATTGAATGAAGAGAAAGAAAATCATGTTCCTAAAAAGCAACTAAGAAAGCGTGAACATCATTTAGAGAAAAAAGAAGGTCCTTCTCACAAAACCCGAAAATACTGCAAAGGATGTTACCAGAAAAAAGCAAATGGTGAAATACATAAGAACAATGTGAAGAAAGTGTCTACGTACTGCACTGATTGCTATGATCAGCCTCATTATTGCCTAGAGTGCTTCAACGTGTTGCATAAATAAGATTAATTATGTGTTACTATCACATTTTTTTTTTTTCAATATATATATGTACATTTTACTTTAGTATTATAACAAAATGTTGTTATTTTACTTTTCATCAATAGACAGTGTTTAAATTGTCATAAGGCTGTTATTTTACTTATAAAATAGGGGTTTCCGTGAATTAGGCTATAAAAAAATTTCCAAAGATTTTTTTTCGAAATTACTATGTCTCACCTACTTTACTAGGCCGAGCGGTCCCATATATGCCGTAAAACGTACAGTATAAGCGGTCCACTGGCCCAGAGATAAGGAAAATGAACTTTATTACCGGCGGTCCATATGGACCTCCACGGCCCAGCAGTCAAGGGCGGTATCGGTCCCTACGGACCGCTCAGGCCGCTAACGTGTTAAACATTGAAAATTGATTTCTAAAAAATGAAATGGTCAATCCATTTAAAATTTAAATATGTTATTCAGAAGTGCTTTAACTATTGAACTAAAAATTTGCGTACGTATCTTAAGCCTAAATTTTATTCGAAGGAACTAAAACAAATAAATCTTTCGGGGTCCAATCGTCATTCAGCAAGTTGTCAGCTACCAATCATAAAAATCTCTAAAAGTGACGTCACGTTGCTTATATCACTATCCTAGTTTCCCGCCCATGANACAATATTACACAAATTTGACAATGAAAATGAAGACACAAACACCGGATATTCAGTAGATAGCTTTATAAAGTTGTACACTACACAAAGACAAAATAATAATAATCCTTTAGCCAATTTTGTTGAAATTTGGCAGTGTTATTTATGGTAGAAATGGGTTAATTCAACCCTAACTAGATTAAAATTATTAAGTCCAGAGGTGTCCCGGGGGCATCTTAACCAATATTTTTGATAAAAAATTGTGCACCTATGAGTTTTTAACTTTTATATTTTTTTCGCAGTAAACAACTAAAAATGCAACTTTTTTGTCTCTTAAATTTTTTTCATATCTTGTTTCTTTTTTGGAGAAAAAAAATATGGTAGTTGTTGGTAAAAATGTGCCTATATTTTTTGATAACGAGGAGTGGAATGCATACTGTTTTTAATGGTCCAGCCCATTTTCTTTTATAGAGCTGTGTAATGAAAAATATGGATTTATCACGAAATTAATTTTTTATTAAATCTTCATAACGCTATGAAAAATGAAAATTTCGGTTAAAATCAGATTCTGTGCCTTATTTAAGTCATAACTGTTCATTGTAATATTGTCTAAAGGACTATAAAGGTCTATAAACATTTGATTTATCCAATAATATAATATTACTATATAATATCTTAATATAATACTTATATTAAGAATCTGTACAATTCCTGTCAGATAAGAATTCTTTAATGTTACCAAACCTTCAAGCATCAACTTTCGCGCCCATTTTTCTCAATTTAGTCCCCATTATTGTTTTAAAAAATTAATTACTCTCATACTAAATGGTCAATCATAATTTTTTTGTACTGAAAAAATAAGAAAAAAAATTATTAATTATAGCATACAAAATTTGTGCATAAACGGTAAGTGGTTTATGAGAAATAAAACGAATCCCTATCTCCAATATGTTAATTCTTTAAACATTGAAAATTGATTTCTAAAAAATGCAATGGTCAATATATTTAAAATTTAAATATGTTATTCAGAAGTGCTTTAACTATTGAACTAAAAATTTGCGTACGTATCTTAAGCCTAAATTTTATTCAAAGGAACCACTTAAACAAATAAATCTGTCAGGGTCCAATCGTCATTCAGCAAGTTGTCAGCTACCAATCATAAAAATCTTTAAAAGTGACGTCACGTTGCTTATATCACTATCCTAGTTTCCCGCCCATGATAATCGAAATCGTATTCGGTACAACTATTGTAGATGTGTGCGCTTGTCGTTTACTCATTCTCTTTTCGTATCTTGTGTATCGAATCGCAATCTCTTCTCATCTATAATAATATCATATATATAAAACAGTAGAATTATGAATAGGCGGTGGCTAAAATCGCATGTTGGCATTGCTCGTTTTTAAAATCGACTTTTTTTCAATACGGTAATGTGCATTTGAATTTTGAAATGTTGGTCATCCTGAATTGAATTAAACATAAACAAACATGATTGAGGTTATGGAGAGCTTAACCACTACATGTTGTTTTATATTTTTATTTAGTTACATGTATTTATGAAAATTAAATTGCTGCAATGACTGCTGTTCAGGAAATCTCGTGTAGGCTTTGCCTTGAAATTTTAACCGACAAAAGTTTTGAAGCAATAGACGACGTTATTAAATCTATTCTAGACGCTCTTTCGCTGAAACTGGTAAGTCGGTGAAATACGTTTTACTGATTCTATATTTTAATTTATTCTCCTTTCAACATGTGTAAAGCGATTTAACAATATTCTATTTTAATTTTTACTTAAATGTTAACTTTTCTGCTACTTCGGTTTCTGTTTAATTAGTATTGTATACATTTCAGAAATTTCATAGTCAAAGCAAAGAGGTAATATGTAATTCTTGCAGAAGAAAGTTGAATGCAGCATTAGAGTTTAAGTCAATCTGTGTAAATACCGATAACACAATTAATTCATATGTGGATCGCGAAAAAATTTTACAACTGAACTTAATAGAAGTTTACATGAAGGAAAAGGGAAGCGAGCAGTCAACGGGTATTTCTTACGATCAAAAAGTATGTCGGGTGTGTATGCAGTTAGTACGAAGCGAATTTAAATGCATACGTGAAGAGGAATTCGAAGTTATTCAGAAATTTTTCCCCGAAATGGTATGTATGCTGTTATAGTAATTTCTTATTAAAAAAAATGTAATTTAATTTTGAAAACATAATCTTGAGGACTGTCTAAAGTCGGCGTCATTTTACATGTTAACCCTTGTCATACTGAGTGGTGTACAAATGTACCCTATTATTTTTAAAAAATATTTTCTAAATAAGATTTTTTTTTAAGTTGATATCGATTGTTATTGCCCCGTTACACCATTTTCAGTTGGGGGGTACCAATGTAGTCCACTGAGTATGCCATGTAACTTTCTTAGCATATGACGGGAGTTAATTTTGTGTGGCTATTATAAACTAACCCTATTTTAGGATGTCACCATCGTCAAAGATCCTGTTGTATGTAAACCGTGCTTTGACTCTCTGTGCGCTCACAACACTTTTCTAACACATTGTTTAGAAGTAGAAGAAAATATCAAAGACACTTTGGAGAGTTGGGCCACGGAGAGTCAAACAGACATGTCACCGTCCGATTTATTCATCAAAACTGAAGACTTGACCGAAGAATCGGAAATAAACGAGATGGAAATGTTAATCAAAGCGGAGTACGTCGATATAAAATGGGAAGAAGATGAAGGAAGGTAAGAATTGCAATTTAAAGCTTCCATTATACAGGGTGTTTATTAATTGAATGCCGATACTTAAGGGTGTGAATCCTTGGGCCATTTTAAGAAGAAAAATTAATATCAACATATGTCCTAAACCTCTTAATTTTTGAGCTACAGGGTGTTACAGTTTTAAGAAAAAATTTACTTTTTTATTATAATTTTCTTATCACTCCAGATATTTTTATGAAATTTTGTACATACCTAATTAATATTTAATTATTTAATATAAGGGCAATAATAATAAGGGCAATAATAATAATAAGGCCAATAATATTTAATATAAGGGCATTTAATAAGCTTACCGGTTTTTCTATCCAAACATTTAATATTATGCCTACGTGAACGTCATTTGTGAAAGTTGAAAATTAATGATTAGTTCAAACCTCTTACGGACGTCATTGGCAAAGATTTTAAAACATTTTTTACATCAAACAATGCTCCTTAATGATTAATAGGTATGTACAAAATTTCATAAAAATATCTGGAGTGATAAGAAAATTATAATAAAAAAGTAAATATTTTCTTAAAACTGTAACACCCTGTAGCTTAAAAATTAAGAGGTTTAGGACATACGTTGATATTAAGTTTTCTTCTTAAAATGACCCAAGGATTCACACCCTTAAGTATACCCTGTATAAGCAACCACAGATCGTTCAGGTAAAATCAATTGGATTTAAGTCAAGGGGTGTTTGCATCAAAAAGACGTGTAGCGTTTTGTCATTGTACTTATGTAAACTTTTATTTTATTTTATAAATTTTAATTCAAACGGTATAGCATTGTTTTCAGCTTGTGACGTACTTTACTATGCATGTTAATACAGAAAACTTCTTGTGTGTAAGTAACTCCTGTTTGTGCCCATACTAGTAAATAAAAAGAGAACAGTAGTGTAAGATTTTAGTTGAGCTTCCTGTTAATAGATGGCTCAATTGAGGCATAGTTTAGCACGACACATCGGTCTGCCAAATTAGTTTGAGTTTTATATGTTTTTTAAATCTCCGGTTAAATAACGATTTCATATAGAAATAAAACAATACAGGGCAAGTATTTCATCGCATAATTCTATTTTCTGTTACTACCTCAAAAGATGGCAAACACCCCATTCGCAGATATTAATAGAAAACCATCTGTTGCTGCTGTATCACTACCTTTTTTGGAGACAATCTGTATATGGAGTTCTTTTTAGAGACCCCATGCTGTTTCACTCGAAAAACGAAATATTCGATGCAGAGGATGATGGATTTGAAGTTTTGTGGAAACACAAGATTAAATCTATGAACGAGTGTGGTATAAAAACAAGACAGGAGAGCACTTTGAGCAACAATTGTGATAAATGTATTTATGAAACTGACAGTATGGTCCGTTTTACGACAGATGAGAACACTTCGGAAATGTGCAACTGCAAAACATACCAATGCGGAGCTGAAAATAAGAGTTTGGATCTTCTAATCTACTCGTGCACCTACTGTGATTATAAAACTAAACATAAGTGTTCCCTCCTACGTCACACGCTTACACATAAGGACCCCTCGCAGGTGCCCATGTACAAGTGTGACATTTGCGATTACAAAACGAAGTACAAGAGTAACGTGACGTACCATCAGATGGGGCACAAGGATTCCTCGCAGGTCGTAATGTACAAGTGCAAGGACTGCGATTATCAAACTAGACACAAGGCTAACATCAAAGACCACCTGCTGATCCATAAAGACCCTTCTCAAGTACCATGGTACAAGTGCGACCAGTGCGAGTACAAAACAATGTATAAAAGAAACATTCCCATTCATCAGCTGATACACAAGGATCCGTCGGAGGTCAAAATGTACCAGTGCGAAGACTGCGATTACAAAACCAAACGTAAGTCGTCTCTTGTACGACACGCGTTGAGGCACAAGGATTCCTCGCAAATCTCGATGTACAAGTGCAACGCTTGCGACTACGAATCGAGGTATAAGAACTGTTTGACTTACCATCAGTTGTCGCACAAAGACTCCTCGCTGGTACAAATGTACAAGTGTAACGACTGCGATTTTAAGACAAAGCGCAAAAGTAATATGAAAACCCACTCGTTGATCCATAAAGACCGTTCACAGGTGCCGAGGTACAAGTGTGACAACTGCGACTACGAATCCATATACAAGAGAAATTTCAACCTTCATCTCTTGACGCACAAGGATCCGTCGAAGGTTCAAATGTACCGTTGCGACGTGTGCGATTTTGAAACGAAGCATAAAAATTCTTTCAAGAGGCACCAATTGATGCACAAGAAACATATGTCCGCGGATGGGAATGTGTCAAAGGGATAGACCACGACAAATTGATTTAGCTGCTTTTTTTTCGAGCTCAGTGGTACAAACCGATTCCTATTTTAGATCGTTTGCATAAAAAGTCTAAAAGAACTAATTTCATCATTTTAGTCATTAATTTATGAAGCAGACAGGAAGGAGTCCAAGTGTGGAACCCCCGAGGAACATCCGATGCCGACAAAACTGTATAAATATTCTGACCAAAGACCTGTCGGTTATATGGGTAATTATTTACTATAGCCCAAACCGTCACAGAAATTTTCCTACCCCCCTCTTTTCGAGAGTGCTGAACACGGATCTGAAGTTATTTTTGTGCGGTTGAACTTACGTTTCGAGAACAAAAATTTTCAAAATTCTGACTTGGACATTTCACAGAACACTAAGCAGTAGACTGGAAACACCACTCCTTTTTTCCGTCATGAAACAGTAAACCACTCCAAAAATTTTGTGCTAGCACTTGTCTACCACCCTCCTTCAGAATTAGGTTATGGTCCTCTAACAGTTGCAATTAGGCTGTTCCTAATATTCATGTATATTTTTCATTTAATTATTATTGTCCTCCTGTAAGTTCAATTTTATTTGTCCCTATTAACGCTTTTTATTTTTGTGCAATTTTTTTTGTCAAAAACTAGGTTCGATCACACAAAAATAATTTCAGATCCGGGTTCAGTACCCCTAAAAATAGGGGGGTTGGATAATTTTTTTGATGGTTTGGGCACTTCTGAAAAATAAGCAAGGAATACATTTTCTGTTTTTTTGCAAGGGCACACACACTTTGGAGCTACGGCGGGCATTTTCGTGGGGAATTTTAGGAGAAAGTCTATTGTCTATTGTTGATTCTAAATAAACAATTGATGTTACTTATGTTTATAACGAGCGTTCAAATAAAAACGTGGTCAAGTTGGTTCTGAAAATTTGGACGTAGGGCGTAGCGTATAGCAAATGAACTTAAACGTCATGTCAAAGCGCTATATCGTCACTTTGTTATTGAAATTGACAGCTGCTATACAGCTCGTTGAGAAATGAGGTTAAGTTGGTCGCTATAAGCTACGCCCTACGTCCAATGTGTCAGAGCCAACTTCGAAAACGTTTTTATTTGAACGCTCGTTATAACTTATGTTTTTGTTCAATGTGTTTTAATATATTTTTTTTGTAAATGGAAACCTCTATTGGGCAATAAACGCATTACTTATTATTTTTTAGATATTCTATCAGTTCTTTTCGCAATCTCATTTCAAAGGAATAATATTGAGAACGTTGTTATTTTGACAACAGCTGCGTGATGCCAAATTTTTTTAACCTTTTTGTAATACCTCCTGGTAAGTATTGCCACTGCACCCCAAGCTCGCTAAAAGGATTAGGTTACCAGGAAACTTCGATCTTGAGTTGATTAATAATATTGCAGCATTTCTGAAGCGCGATTACGTCATCGGTATTATAATTTCATTTCCATCGTCTAATTCAATATTAATTATTTGGAATATTAAACATTTTAATCACTTCTGTGCGAGTAGATATTTCTGAACATTATAGCTTCGAATATATAAAAAAGAACAAAAACAGAGCAAATGAATTTTTCATGTACGTTACTATCGATTCTGAAATTTATGCAGGTAAAAGTTGGACCACCCTGTATATACAAGGCGTATTTTTGGAAATTGTCGACAATCCGAAATTTCACATAACACACCCCCAAGCCCGATACACTACAATTTGAATACCGGCAACACTGTGCTCTTCATCTTCAGTGTAAATACACAGTGAAGTCAGCAGTTCTCAACAGCTTTCTATTAAAAAAAAAAAGAAAAAATTATGCATGTTTAGACTTTTATTAACTACATGTATACAATACAGCTGTTTAAAATACACATCGAGGGCGTCATATCAGAAATGAGTCACTATAATCGGTTTTAGGTTTTTGGGGCGTATGACCTTATTTAATCAATTCGCTTAATAGCTTAATATATCAGAAGGGCGTATATATATTCATAGACATCAACACTCTATTCTAACGCATTTTACTTAGACGTATGAACCAATTTTGCAAAACTATATCAGAAAGGCGTATGCCTGTAAAATTTCAGATTTGGTTCATACGCCTTTCTGATATGACGCCCTCGATATATATGTTTAACAAATATGTATCAAAATTATGAACCCTTTGTCAGTCGCTAGATGGTTACACTGTCACAAATAGCAGACCTTCCAGTTCGTAACTAGGTACTAGCGATTTTTACAAATTTTAGTCCACAATCACTTATTGGATTCTATTTGGACAAGGTTTTCGTGTTTTATCATGTTTTTCAAAGCAGGCACTGCGTTTTACATCTTATTCCAATATTTACGATCGATGTCATAATCATATTTGTTGCTTTCAAATACCTCCATTTTTGACTGTATTTAACACTTCGATTGGAAGTAAGTCACACTTGCAAACCTTAATTAGCAAATCACGCACATCGTGCCAGTATATTAGCACTTGCGAAGGCTCTCTATGCTTCGACACATGACACAGCTCCTTTATTTCGGTTCACAATTCAGTCATTACATCTGTATGTTTAGACCTAAAAGAAATTTTTATGCTTCGACATGTGATATTTGATATTGTTTTTGTATTTAATTCCGTGATCAGTCATTACACCTGTACATTTGAATCTACGAAGGGTCTTTATGTTTCTCTTGGTGCTTTTTGATGGCATTCTTGTACTTCGTTTCGTAGTGGCAGTCATTACAACTGTACATTTGAATCTGCGAAGGATCTGCATGTTTCAGTTGGTGCAGTTTGATACTATACTTGTATTTACTTTGAAAATCGCAATCGTTACACTTGTACGCTTGAACCTGTAAAGGATCCTTGTGTTTCAGTTGGTGCTTTTGAATATAATACTTGTGTATACTTTCATAATCGCAGTCGTTACACCTGTACATTTGAACCTGGGAAGGAGCTTTATGTTTCAGTTGGTGCCGTTTCACACCATCCTTGTATTTAGATTTGAAATCGCAGTCATTACATCCGTACATTTGAACCTGAGAAAGATCTTTATGCTTCAGTTGATGCTTTTTGATATAACTCTTGTATATAGTTTCGTAATCGCAATTGTTACACTTGTACGTTTGAACCTGTAAAGGATCCTTGTGTTTCAGTTGGTGCATTTTAATATAATTCCTGTGTATACTCTCATAATTGCACTCGTTACACCTGTACATTTGAACGTGGGAAGGAGCTTTATGTGTCAGTTGGTGCCGTTTGACACCATTCTTGTATTTAGTTTTGAAATCGCAGTCACTACATGTGTACATTTGAATCTCCGAAGAATTCTTATGTTTCAGTTGTTGATGTTTTTTGACAGCGTTTTTGTATTTAGTTTTGTAATCACAGTCATTACACCTGTACATTTCAACTTGTGAAGGGTCTTTATGTTTCAGTTGGTGCTGTTTGAGGGTATTTTTGTATTTAGTTTCGTAATCGCAGTCGTTACACCTGTACATTTGAACCTGCGAAGGCGCTCTATGTGTCAGTTGATGCTTTTGGATACTACCTTTGCATACAGTTTCATAATTACAGTTGTTACACTTGTACCTTTGAACTTGCGAAGGATCCTTATGTTTCAGTTGGTGCTTTTTAATATTACTCCCGTACATAGTTTCGTAATCGCAGTCGTTACACCTGTACATTTGAATCTGAGATGGATCTTTATGTTTCAGTTGGTGCTTATTGATATGGCTCTTGTATTTAGTTTTGAAATTGCAGTCGTTACAGCTGTACATTTGAATCTGAGAAGGGTTCTTATGTATCAGTTGATGTTTTTTGATATGATCTTTGTATTTAGTTTCATAATCGCAGTCCTTACACCTGTACGTTTGAACCAGCGATTTATCTATATGTTTCAGTTGGTGCTTTTTGATGCCAAACTTGTATTTAGATTTGTAATTGCAGTCATTACAACTGTACATTTGAATCTGCGAAGGATCTTCATGTTTCAGTCGGTGCAGTTTAATACCATTCTTGTATTTACTTTTGTAATCGCAGTCATTACAACTGTACATTTGAACCTGGGAAGGATCTTTATGTTTAAGTTGGTGATCTTTAACGTAACTCCTGTATATACTTTCGTAATCGCAGTCGTTACATTTGTACATTTGAACCTGAGAAGGATCTTTATGTACCAACTGATGTTTCATGAAAGCACGCCTATTCCTTGATTTGTAATCGCAACCATCACAGTTATAATACGGCAGTTGTGAAATGTCCATATATGGAAATGCCTCGCATTTGGTTTTATAATCATATTCATTACATTTGATTGAGTATATGTGTCTTAAATAATGTCTTTTAAAATTTTTTCTCCATTTCGTTTTGAAATCGCAGATGTTGCACTTGTACAATTGTGCTTTGTGTTTCACCTCATGCTTAGTAAGGTCGGACTTACGCTTTGTCTTGTAATTACATGATTGGCACTGATGCATCCCTATTTCCGATGGGTGTTTATGCTTCAATTGGTGGCTCTGAAGTAATTCCTTATTTTCAGTTTCATACTCGCACAATTCACATTTATACACTTCCGAATCATTTTCGTGTGTCGCACAGTGTGCGTGTGTATCACATTTCTTGATTTTCACGTTACAATTGTTCGCTGCTCCATTCTCAGCTTTACATCCCTCCTCTTCCGCATCTTTACAGTCACTCGTCTCGAATGGTTCAGTTTTAAAGGTCTGGGGTAGCGTGTCGCTGAAAAAATTGGATATACAGGGTGTTTTTTGAAATCAAGGTTTTTAAGGGGTTATAGCTGACGCCAAAATATTGGAATATACAAAAAATCACTTTAATAATAAAAGTTCAGAAATTATTAATGATATATGCAGAGATAGCACTGCGTCGAAATAGAACAGTGTTTCCCATCATTTCTAACATCAGCAAATCAAAGGGAACTTTCAGTTTATAAAGTATAACAAGGTTAAGTTATTTCCCCAATCTCTTCGATAACCTCGCAATATTAATGATGATTGTGCATGGATTACCTGATGAAATTAATAGTTGATACACTGTTTAGTATTTAAGTGAAATCACTGTTTTATTTGTATTTTACTTCTGCTTGAATTTAGTAATTTGGGTTGCTTATAGAATGGGAAGAAGTATGTGCAAATTTAAGTCTATTTGTCTCTTATCGTTAGGCATTTTTTTGAGGCAAAAAAAAAACAAAAAAAGGAGCTATGACTACCAGGTCAAGGAAAAGTTTGAAAGAAAGGCATCACATCTGAGACAACATGTCAAAACAAACATTTGCAAAACAAAAACAGGTTTTTTAAATTTTCTAAATCACTATTTAGGAAATACCTCGCTATCACGACACAAAAAAAAGTACTATAAATTTAAAAAATACAAAATTTATCAACATTTCCTCACCTGTTCTGCAGATCTTCCAGTTTTATTTCCTCAGTTTTAATGTAAGACTGTTTATCGACATTTGTATATTTCTCATGAGCATCAAGACAGCTCTTTAAAAAACTGCCATGGGTACGAAGCGAATCAAAGCATACCGTGCATATAACCGGATCCCTGGTAGCACTGATATTCTACAATTACAATAATATTAACATTAATTATGATTTAAAGCAACGCAAAGCGTCTTTAACGATTTGCATGACAAATAAAAAAGTTAGGTCGTTTAAAAACTTTATAAACATTTTTTGTTTATACAGCGCTTGTATAGAATATAATTTATGGAAATGATTATTTTCGGGCACATACAAATATCTTCTTATGAAAATACATTAAAATATAACTTACAACCTGTGGTATGTATGTATCGATTATGTCAACATCTACTTCATTTAGTGCCACAAATCCGTAAGTTACCGACTTGAAACATAATCGACAAATTGTCGATTCCGATACATCGATTAACTGAATATTTCCGTTCTCTTTTAGATAAACTTCCTTTAAATCAATCTGTGACATTTTACTGGCGTTAATATAAGGAAAAAGTAAATCCTCGGTATCCACACATATCGTCTTAAAATTAAAAGCAGCATATAATTTTTCGGAGCATGGTGTACAAATGAAATGTCTAACTTTTTCGTCCAAATTCTGAAACAGTTTTTAATTAAGTATAATTGAAGTACATTACGGACATACAAGTAATCTTGTTAACTTGTTCTTACCACATCCGGCAAAACAATTTTCAGAATATCCCCCGTGACTTCTTCTATCACCTGGCAATTTGAATCCCCTATAGTATTTAGGCACAGCCTACAAAATGTTTCTTCCAAGATTGTTGCTTGCATATTTATTTATTACGTTTCTTATGAGAAATTCTAAACTTTCATAACGATAATGTCATAAACAATAAAGCCATTCCAATAATGCCATAACCACATTTATATTTTTCTTCTTCTTCTTCACACTGAATTATATTACAGAATCTGTCATTATATTAGGTGCGTTTTGTTGGATTGAATCCAGAATTGAATTATGCAAAATAGGCGTTTTGTTGCAACGTTATTCAGAATCCAGAGATATACCTATGTCCCAATCCGGTTGCAACTTTTGATTCTGTAGTTTGAGACTGAATTATTAGAACTAAATGTTAGGGAAATCAAATTTGAGGTTACTTAGGTGTAACTGTTTGTGACTCACATAGCCGAACTTTTGTTGGGATTAATTTTGACTTTCCACCTGTTGCACCAGGTTTCAAGTTGGTCTAAGGAGCTTTGGAGGAGGTAGACGGAATATCTAGGATCTACGGATTGGGATGTGATTGTCAGGTCGTCGGCGTCGCGAGTGAAGTTGTATGTTGTAGTATGTGTAGTATGAGAGAATGAAGAGATTTAAACTACTATATGACAACTAAGATCAAAAGAGATAGAAATAGTAACTACAACTCAGGTATTCACCAATATTCAGTCGTAAAAGAGCCTATTATATCTATTACACTATATCTGTGTCTGCGATTACATTCTAATCCATTCTAATCGTTGTCGGTGCGGCTCACGGTCCGTAAGAGTCCGTTTTTTACGGATCGTGGGTGCGTCTAACTGGCAAGCTATACTTGTCCTTATTGTAGATGCGTGCGCATTCCCTTTTCGTATCTTGTGTAGTGTATTACTACCATTACTATTATCATTATTACTCCAGATTTGTAATCAATAATTATTGGTGTTACAGTCTCTGTTCCCGTCTAATAAATTAGAGTAGGCGGTGATTAAACTTGCATGTTGGCATTGCTTGTTTAAAATCGATCCATTTTTGCAATACGAAAATGCAATATTGGCAACCCTGAATTGAATTAATCATGATTGAGGTTATGGAGAGCTTAACCCCTACATGTCATCGTTTTATATTTTTATTTACATGCAATTAAGAAAATTAAATTGCTGCAATGACTGCTGTTCCGGAAACTTCGTGTAGGCTTTGCCTTCAAATTATAACCGACGAAAGTTTTGAGGTAATAGACAACGTTATTAAAGCTATTCTTCACGCTCTTTCGCTGAAACTGGTAGGTCTATAAAATACATCCTACTGATTCTAGTTAATTTTTACTTAAATTATAAATTTCTGTTACTTTTATTTTTGTTTCATTAGGGTTGTATACATTTTAGAGATTTGATAACCAAAGCAAATGGGTAATATGTAATTCTTGCAGAAGAATGTTGGATGCAGCATTAAAGTTTAAGTCAACCTGTGTGAATGCCGATAACACAATTAATTCATATGTGGATCGTGAAAAATTTTTTCAACTGAACTTATTAGAAGTTTATATGAAGGAGAAGGGAAGAGAGCAAACAATGGGTATTTCATATGACCAAAAAGTATGTCGGTTGTGTATGCAGCTAGTACGAAGCGAATTTAAATGCGTACGTGAAGGGGTACTCGAAGCTATTGAGAAATTTTTCCCCGAAATGGTGTGTATGCTGTTATAGTATTTTATTATTAAAAAAAATGTAATGTAATTTTAAGAACATAATCTTGAGGACTATCTAAAGTCGGCATCATTTTATATATCATACTGTGCAATGTACAAATGTACCCCATTATTTTTAAAAAAACATTTCTACAACAATATTTCCTAAATTAGATTTTTTTAAGTTGATATTGATAGTTATGCCCCGTTACACGATTTCCAGTTGAGGGTACCAATGTAGTCCACTGGGTATGCCATGTAACTTTTTTAGCATATGACGAGAGTTAATTTTGTGTGGCTATTATAAAAGAACCCTATTTTAGGATGTCGCCATCGTCAAAGATCCTGTTGTATGTAAACAGTGCTTTGACTCCCTGTGCGCTCACAACACTTTTCTAACACATTGTTTAGAAGTAGAAGAAAATATCATACACACTTTCGAGAGTTCGGCCACAGAGAGTCAAACAGACATGTCACCGTCCGATTTATTCATCAAAACTGAAGACTTGACCGAAGAATCAGAAATTAACGAGATGGAAATGTTAATCAAAGCCGAGTGCGTCGATATAAAATCGGAAGAAGATGAAGGAAGGTGAGAATTGCAATTTAAAGCTTCTATTATACAGGATGTTTCTTGGGTGGAGGTAAAAGGTCCAGGGGCGTATTTTGTCGCAAAAATAAGGGTTTTTTTGTTAATAAATGTGGGGTCTTAGGACAGTCACTGTCCAGCTACAGCGTGTCAAAAATTAAAAAAGAGATCAATTTTTAATTTTTAAGCCCCTAGAGATAATTGAACCAAATTCGGTGTGCATATTTAGTATGTCAGTTTCGTTTGGTTTGAAACAAGAAATTACCTACTGTCATACTAAATATACCAGGTGTAACAGGATCATGGTACACCCCCCGTATCTCCGTTAGTTTTAAAGGTAATTGATTGAAATTGGGGATATTCCATATACATAATAAGCGGCACTTTTTGATCTACAAATGATTTTTTTCCACTTCCGGTTTCGCCGGAAGTGATACCAACTTTCGATTTTCAAATGGAATACCCTGTATATTATTACATTTCTGAAATCTGCATAATTTTCTGAATCCAATGATACCACATAAGTGACATTTCAAACGTCAAAATTTTTTATAATTTAATTTTTAGTTTTCCATTTAAGTGTGCCATGATGGTTCCGATTTATTCCAATTGACCCGTCTAATGCTGGAAAAATCGAAATCCCGTCAAAAATACTAAATTGCGTTTTTTATGAGCAAATAAAGTTCATCGTAATCGATTTTGGGGTAAAACTCAATTTTTTCAAATGGAACCATATTGGTACCGTGGTACCATTTATTAGTACTATTAATAAGGAATTAATTCATACCTGGTAATAAAATGTGCGATAAATACAATCAAAATTACAGCTAAAAGAAAATAAGAAAATACAATTATTTTGTTCTAATTTAATGCTAAGAAACTAAGGTGGCTTTGAAAACAATGAAATTATTCCTTCAGACTGTCAAATAAATTTTGTTGGTTTATCGGTGTTTTTATTGTGTATTGGAAAAGTCTTTACATTTGTTGTTATTTTTGTTCAAAATGCCGCACATTTATACAAGGGATGAAAAAGTGGACATGTTAATTATTTATGGGGAATGTAGAAAAAATGCCGTTGCGGCTAGAAACCTTTATGCCGACCGATATCCTGATAGACAATGTCCAGCGAGAAATTATTTTAATCGTCTTGAAAATCAATTCCGAAGAGAGCCTAACCATGATCCCGAAGAAAACGTTATCATCGACGAAGGAACGGAAATTAATGTTTTATTTCGAATAGAAGTTGATAAGACTGTTTCTTTAAGGCAAATTGGGGTTGAATTGGGAATTAGTCACCAAACGGTAAGCCGAATCTTGCACAAACATAATTATAAATCTTTCAAATATCAATTGCACCAGCACCTGTACGAAAATGATCATGAACGTAGAATGGAATATTGCAATTGGATCTTGCATAATAATGTGCAGCCAAACAATGCTCTTTTGGGAAGGATTTTATTTTCGGACGAGTGTAGGTTTACAAATATGGGATTATTTAACCGACAAAATACAAGGTATTGGTCCCAAGAAAATCAAAATTTATTGCGGGAGGGTAACTTTCAAGTGCGGTTCGGTTTCAATGTGTGGCTTGGAATACTCGGTCGTAGAATCATTGGTCCAATAATATTTGAAGGACCCTTGACTGGTGCTAGATACTTAGGATTTCTGCAAAATGAAATTGAGGACAGTTTAACTCAATTACCTGTCCATTTACGACAGGGAATGTATTTCCAACAAGATGGAGCTCCTCCCCATAATTCAAGAATAGTAATTGATTACCTTCAACAGGCATTCGAAGGAAACGTAATTTCGACGAATGGTCCTGTGCGATGGCCTCCAAGGTCACCTGATTTGACACCTCTCGATTTCTTTGTTTGGGGCCATTTAAAAAACATTGTCTATGCAACCGCCGTTACAACCCGCGAAGACCTGGAGTTGCGAGTAAGACGTGCAATTAATAGTATAACGGCCCAGCAATTAGCGAACGTTCTTCAAGAAACAGCTATGCGAGTTCAGAAGTGCATTGACGTTAATGGACAGCATTTCGAACAATTGTTGTAATGTTTTGTGTTCATTTTTTGTATTTCAAAGCCACCTTAGTTTCTTAGCATTAAATTAGAACAAAATAATTGTATTTTCTTATTTTCTTTTAGCTGTAATTTTGATTGTATTTATCGCACATTTTATTACCAGGTATGAATTAATTCCTTATTAATAGTACTAATAAATGGTACCACGGTACCAATATGGTTCCATTTGAAAAAATTGAGTTTTACCCCAAAATCGATTACGATGAACTTTATTTGCTCATAAAAAACGCAATTTAGTATTTTTGACGGGATTTCGATTTTTCCAGCATTAGACGGGTCAATTGGAATAAATCGGAACCATCATGGCACACTTAAATGGAAAACTAAAAATTAAATTATAAAAAATTTTGACGTTTGAAATGTCACATATATGGTATCATTGGATTCAGAAAATTATGCAGATTTCAGAAATGTAATAATAAACAGGGTATTCCATTTGAAAATCGAAAGTTGGTATCACTTTCGGCGAAACCGGAAGTGGAAAAAAAATCATTTGTAGATCAAAAAGTGCCGCTTATTATGTATATGGAATATCCCAAATTTCAATCAATTACCTTTAAAACTAACGGAGATACGGGGGGTGTACCATGATCCTATTACACCTGGTATACACCGAATTTGGTTCAATTATCTCAAGGGACTTAAAAACTGATTTTTTTTTAAAATTTTTGACATGCTGTAGCTGGACAATGGCTGTCCTAAGACCCCACATTTATGTAACAAAACACCCTTATTTTTGGCCATAGAATACGGCCCTGGATTTTTGACGTCTACGTAAGAAACACCCTGTATGAGGTTCTTCAGCAACTACAGATTTTTCAGGTAAAATCGATTGAACTAAATTCAAGGGGTATTTGTTTAAAAAAAAACGTATAGCCTTTTGTCGTAAATTATGTAAACTTTTATTTGATTTTATAGATTCAAACCATATAGCATTATTTTCAGCTTGTGACGTACTTTACTATGCATGTTAATACAGAAAAATTCTTGCTTAAGTAGCTCCTGTTTGTGTCCATACTAGTAAATAAAAAGAGGACAGTAGTATGAGATTTTAGTTGAGCATCCTATTAATAGATGGCTCAATTGAGGCATAGTTTAGCACGACGCATCGGTCTGCCAAATTTGTTTTACTTTTATATGTTTTTAAATTTCCGGTTAAATAACGATTTCATACAGAAATAAAACTACAGGGCAAGTATTTCGTCTCATAATTATATTTTCTGTTATTAGCCCTGTTACTGCAGCTGAAAATATAGTAATACCCCCGAATTTTTTATAACTGCATCGATTTTTCTCAAAAATTAGAATTAGGGTCATCTTACCCTTACTTCAAAAGTTATATATGCGCTAGGTGTGCTTTTTGTTCTTAGGGGGTGGAAACCACCCCTTATTTGAAAAAAAGAAAAAGTACAAATTTAAGCATTTAAGCACTATGAGTAATTTCATGTGCTATCTTACATGAAACTTAATGTATCCCAAATTTTCAACCCGGAAAAACTTTTAAAAACCACCACTTTGGATGAAAATAATATAAAAAAAATTTTTCAACTTAAAACGTTTTTGGCATGCATTTTATCAAATTAAAATTGATTTCTTGATTAAAAAATCATTTTTATCCTTTGCAAATTTTCAACCCGTGAAAAATACCCTTTCTTTCGAAAATAAAATGAAAAAATATTATTGGAAGAGTAGAAACATTTTAAATGTGCATTCGTATTAAATAAACATTTCTTCCCTTATTATAATATAGTAGTTTTAGGCCCGGTACTTTGAGTCTCGGTTAAAGCTTGATTAACTGATCAGGCGATTAGACTGTACATAGATTTATTTTATAATACTATATTCACAGTCTAATCACCTGATTAGTTAATCAAGCCTTAACTGAGACTCAAAGTACCGGGCCTTAATATAGTATAGTACTGGTTTATTCGAGTATACACATACTAAATACGTATATATACAAAAAAGATCTAAATGCTTCAAAATTCTTGTTTGACCTAAATTTTCCTAAAATTATTACCTATACACGTGTTTATTTTTTGATGATAACTTTCTTACTTTTTAAGATTTTTAATCGCACAAGGCTCATTTTGCAGGGAATTGTAAGGGCTACGTGAACTGCTGAGTTGATCATTTTAAGCCTTTCATTTTTAAGTTTGAAGGGTTTAAAGGGCTCTAAAAGGGTGGTTCTCTCATTCATATGATAACTTAAAATGGCGATATCTCGATTAAAATAAATAATAAAAAAGCTAAATTTTTTTACCCTTGTATTTTTTTCGTACACCCTTTAATTTTTTACGTTTTAAGTTACAGCGTAAAAATTGAATTTTTTTCAAAAAATTGAAAAATTAACATTTTCAAAAATTAAGTTTTTTTTCGAAATCATGCTTTGTAAGTGAGCCAAAGACCCAGAACTTATTCTTAGAACATAAATGAAGAAATCTGTAAATGGATTGCATTTAATTTTAATTCTGTCGCCAAAGGCACTGATTTGTTTATGACTATCATGTTATTTCGATCATATTTCCGTTAATTTTGATTCTAAAGACTTTTAAAACAGCTCATTTTAAAGGTTTTTCAAAGTACTTTAAAAAAGGTTCAAATAGTTTTTTCCTAATATTTATGGTTTTGGCGTTATTTAACGTTAACTCGTTCCAATTTAGTTTTTAGCATATAATAATGTTCAAAAATCCATAACTCGGTTTATATTGCAATTAGAGAAAAACAACATTTGTTACTTAAAATTGACTCCTCTATCGATTCCTGTGGTTATTTTCGTCGTAAAAATTTCCACCCGCAGGGCAAAGCACACTTCGGCACTATATAAGTTTTGTTCCTTGAGGCATTCCCCACATTTAGTCAAAATTTTACGTCAATCGGTTCAGTTATAAAGAATTCGGCGGTAAAAACCCCGAGTAACTGGACTATATTACCTCAAAAGATGGCAAATACCCAATTCTCAGATATTAACGAAAAACCATCTGTTGCTGCTGTATCACTACCATTTTTCGAGACAAACTGTATATGGAGTTCTTTTCAGAGACCCCATGCTGTTTCACTCGAAAAACGGAATATTCGATGCAGAGAATGATGGATTTGAAATTTTGTGGAAACACAAGATTAGGTCTATGAACGAGTGTGGTAGACAGGAGAGCACTTTGGGCAATAACTGTGATAAATGTATCCGTGAAGCCGAAAGTATGGCCCGTTTTAAGACACACGAGAACGCTTCGGAAATGTGCAACTGCAAAACATATCAATACGAAACTGAAAATAAGAGTTTGGATCTTCTAATCTACTCGTGCACCTACTGTGATTATAAAACTAAACAGAAGTGTGCCCTCGTACGTCACACGCTGAAACATAAGGACCCCTCGCAGGTGCCGATGTACAAGTGCGACGTTTGCGATTACGAATCGAAGTATAAGAGCAGCGTCTCGTACCACCAGTTGTCGCACAAGGACTCTTCTCAGGTCGTAATGTACAAGTGCAACGACTGCGACTATCAAACTAGGCACAAGACAAGCATCAAAGGCCACCTGCTGATCCACAAAGACCGTTCCGAAGTGCCGCGGTACAAGTGCAACCAGTGCGAGTACGAATCGATATATAAGAGAAACATTACCAGTCATCAGCTGAAGCACAAGGATCCGTCGGAGGTGAAAATGTACCAGTGCAACGACTGCGACTATAAAACTAAGCATAAATCGTCCCTCGTGCGACACGCGTTGAAACACAAGGACTCCTCGCAAATCTCGATGTACAAGTGCGACGCTTGCGACTACGAATCGAGGTATAAGAACTGTTTGATTTATCACCTGTTGTCGCATAAAGACTCTTCGCAGGTACAAACGTACAAGTGTAACGACTGCGGTTTCAAGACGAAGCACAAAAGTAATATCAAAAACCACTTGTTGACCCATAAAGACCGTTCGCAGGCGCCGAGGTACAAGTGTGAAGACTGCGACTACGAATCGATATATAAGAGAAATTATAATTTTCACCTCTTGACGCATAAAGATCCGTTGAGGGTTCGAACGTTCCGGTGTGACGAGTGCGATTTTGTAACGAAGCATAAACATTCTTTGAAGGGGCACCAGTTGAAGCACAAGAAACGTACGTCTGCAGATGTGAACGTGCCGGATGGCGAAGCCATAACGAATTGATTTGAATATTCCGTGCTATTTTTTGTGCTCAGTGGTACAAACAAATTTCTGTTGGTTTTATTTCAGATATTTCTTGAATATTTAATGTTTGTTTTTTGTTGAATTTATAAATACTCGAATAGTCACATTTTTTACAATCATACAATCACAAGCCATGGCTGTGTGCAATTGTTTACCTCATTGAAATGCGTATAAAGGTAGTTTAATTCATTTAAACTAGGTTAACGTTAGAGGTAATCGATATTGAGATTCACGAATTAAATGCAGTGCTTTAGAAAAACAAAAACAAACATTTTTTATTCAAAACTATACACTATATTTTGCCAATTACTCAAAATACATAAAGCCTGTTGGGTCAAATCAAAGGTGCAAACCACTTTCTTTTTGTGTGACAGTGTAATGTTCAATTGTTTATATTTTGAGATTTTTTGTTGCACAATTCTTAACAATGAGTTATTTTTAGTTATGTTCACTCAGTGTAGTGTATTATCTGATATACGTTTATTTATATGATTATGTTTTTGTTAAATGTTCTTTTATATATGTATATATAGTTTTTTGTTTTGTAAATGGAAAATAAACGCACTATTATTATTATTATTATTATTATTATCATTTAGTTTGTTCGATCAGTCCTTTTGATATACAACTGCATTCCAAAGAAAAAAATATCTGCTGCTATTTTATTTGAAAATTTGATACCCTGTGTCTCGGAAACACTGCGAACTTTTTTATTCTGGTAACTCTTACACAAAGCCAATTTGTTTTACCTTTTTTGCAATTATTGCAACGTTGTTTTAGATAAAATTTTGTGAGTTCAAAATAGCAGCAACAGTAAAAAAAACTCGAGAACAATAATTCCTATGACACACGAGACAGGAAATCTCAAAGAATACACGTCAAAACTGAAATTTAGTAAATTTATTAACAAAAATAACAATGCTGACGTTGATATCATTAGATATATACGAATGATGACGTCACTCAGTTGTGTGTGAGAGGAAGTGAATCGAAGGTCGGCAGTTTGCAGGTAATCTACTCATGGTCGTTTCCTTTTAGTGACCTTCAACCACCAACCACCACTTGAATATTTATATTTCCATTAAAAAAATTCTTGCAGTGACTGTCGATACAGTCGATTTTATATGATACGCTACTGCATTACTAATGAGCAAATGCGGTCATTTTAAATGTCCGATAGTTAATGCTGAAATGTTGGCAACAATGGCAACCTGAATTGAATTAACCACGATTGAGGTTATGCTGGAAGAACTGCTCTTTAGGAAACTGAAGGGACTGAACTTTGTGTTGGATTTGCCTTAAGGTTGTAAACGATAAAAGTTTATAAGTAATAGATAATGTTATTAGAGATATTCTAGACGATCTTTGCTGAAATTGGTAAGTCCGTGAAATATATTCTACTAATTATATCATAATTCATCAACGCAATCTCTATTTTAATTTTCATTTAAATAGTAATTTTCTGCTACTCTTTTTGTTTAATTAAAGCTGTACAAACTTCAAAGATTTGATAGCAAAAGCGGATGTAATAATTTACCTCTGCTTTTGCTATCAAATCTTTGAAGTTGAAGAAATACTTTTTGCAGAAGAAAATTGAAGACAGCACAAGAATTTAAGTCAACCTGCCTAAATACCGATAACACAAGTCATATGTAGATTGCGGAAAAATGTTACAAGTGAACTTAACAGAAGCTTATATGAAGGAAGAAAAAAGTGAACAGACAATTGGTATTTCATACGATCAAAAAGTATGTAGATTGTGTATGCAGCTAGTGCAAAGCGAATTGAAGTATATATGTAAAGAAGAATTTGATGTTAATCAGAAAATGGTATGTATGCTGTAATAGTAATAACTTTTTAGAAATATGTAATTTGAAGAACAATATTGAAGACTTGTATAAAGTTGGTGTCGTGATTTTAAATATTAACCTTTTTCTGTACAATGTGTTGTACATATGTACCTGATTGTCAGAATTTCTATCTTATTTTTTAGTTTAGTAAAAAAATAACTGCAACTTTTGCAAAAAGAGAAATTTTTGAAATTGACCAAAAAATAAAGAAGTTAAAGGCTTGTATCACATTTAAGTGCGACACCCTGTATAAGCAAGGATATTTACTCATATCCTTTAAATGTAATATCCTTTATTCATATGAAATTATCGATAAATGTTATATTTGTTAATTTTATATAACTGTTTTTTTTTTGTTAAACTGTCTTAGCATTCGACAATAGTTAATTTTGTGTGGCTATTATAAAATAACCCTATTTTAGAATATCGCCGTCGTCAAAGATCCCGTTGTGTGTAAACCATGCTTTGACTCTCTGGGCACCCACAAAATTTTCTTGAAAAATTGTTTAGAAGTAGACGAAAATATCAATGATGCTTTTGAGAGTTCCGCCACAGAGCGTCAAACAGACATGTCACCGTCCGATTTATTCATCAAAACTGAAAACTTGACTGAGGAATCAGAAAATAACGACATGAATATGCCAATCAAAGCTGAGTGCGTCGACGTAAAATCGGAAGATGATGAAGGGAGGTAAGGGGGGTATTTTTGTATTTATTCAAGTATTTTGCTTGTTTGTTTTTCCAGAAGTTTTAAGTACGATTTAGGAACAATTTGCTTTGAGCAATTTCAAAATTTTTTTTTCTCTTAGATTGTGAGGTTTACCTCACCATAATTAATTTCTGTTTATATCTGCAGAATCTTTCATTGAAATTAACCTGATTCAACAGACTGGTTTTACAAAGCCTCGTGATCCAATTAATTTTGGAGCAATTAAGCTTTTAATTTTTTTAAGCCGACTATTGTGATTTTACGTTCTTTTTTGACAAAGTTCTTCAACATAGCAGGGCCATGGGATTAAATAAAAGTAGACACAAAAATTTTGTATGGTAGGGTAGATTTTTAAAAGGAACACACTATACAGAGTGTTATCTTTTTAAACGTAGTAACGTTAATGGTCGATAGAGAATTTGATTTTGAACAAAAAAGTTCCTACATCTATGAGTTTTATTTTTAAATTTGATGACATTTTTCAAATCACTGATCAATTTTAAACGAAAATCTGTTCTTGACAAATTGTCATAAAATTAAAAGGTCCCGAGTACAAAATTCTGTCACAATTTAATGGCGCAAAAAAATAAATGTGACGCCCTGTATCATACAATTTATGGTTCCACTTATATATTTTTTTTCTACTGACAGGTTGCTTTGGTGCACGAATAATGAAACATTCGAGGACCTCAACTGTAAACGTGCAGAAGAGGATGGGTTTGAAGATTTGTCGGATCATAAGAATAAATCGATATACGAATGTGGTACGAAGACCAGTCAAAAGGGCGATGTTAATTTCCCTCAGTTAACGTTAAGTAAACTATTATACACGTGTGACAAATGCGTTTATGAAACTAAAAGCGAGCGTCGTTTTGAGGTACATTGTGCGAGACACGAGAACAATTCAAAAGTGTTTAAGTGCGATTCGTGCGGTTACGAAACCGACAACAAGAAATTACTTCAGAAGCACCGGTCGAGGCATAAAGAGGCTCCGCTAGTACCCATATTAAAGTGCGATTTGTGTGATTACGAAACAAAGTCCAAGCACCACCTGATCAAGCACCAGACGAAACACCAAAGTTCATCCAAAGCGTTATTATACAAGTGCGGGTTTTGCAATTTGGAAACAAACTACCGCTCCGTCATTTCCCGTCACCTTTTGAAACACAAAAACCCTTCGGAAGTGAAACTATACAAGTGCAGCGACTGCGATTACGAAACGAGGATCAAATACAGCCTCACGACGCATCTGTTGGTACACAGAAGTCCATCCGCGGCAGAGGCGGGTAAATACAAGTGCGATTCGTGCGGTTTCGAAACAAACTATACGTCGACACTTAAGAGACACCAGTTAACACACATAAACCCTTCGGAAGTCCAGATGTACTCGTGCAACGACTGCGATTACAAAGCTAAACAGAAGCGTTACCTGATACGCCACTCGTTGAAACATAAGGACTGGTCTCAGACGGAAACCTTCAGGTGCTACGTCTGCGACTACAGATCGAAGTATAAGTCGACTTTGATCCATCACCTGTTGAAGCACAAGGACGCCTCGCAGGTACAGACGTACAAGTGCAACGACTGCGACTACGAAACTAAACACAAGCACATTATCAAAAACCACGTGTTGAGGCATAAGGACCTTTCGAGGGTGCCAACGTACCGGTGTAACGACTGCGAGTACGAAACGGCATACCAGAAGAATTTCGCCCGCCATCTGTTGACGCATAAGGATAAGTCTCAGGTCCGGATGCATCGGTGTGACAAGTGCGAATTCGAAACGAAGCATAAAAATTCTCTGAGGCGGCACCAGTCGATGCACAAGTGACGTTCCGGGGGTGTGATTGTTGTAATGAAATTTTGAGAATTAGTACATTTACTGGAGTGTAAATAAAATTCACAAAATGGTTGAAATTTTGCTTACCTGCTACTTTCGCAGGTGCTGAAGGAGAATCTAGTTGTTTCGTGTGGTTAAACTGGGGAAAAAACATACTCCTCGAGAAACATATGTTTTTTCTCAAATTGTGTCTTGAAAACTGATTTTTTTTTAACACAAATAAGTGAATGTTCTGTTTACCCACCTGATTTTTACAGCATATGACATACTTGAAATCTAATGTAATCTTTGAGAGAATTGATACAATGGCATTTAAGATTTCTGGTTTTAAGCTTAGAGTATTGACATTGAAAGCTCCCACAATCTTTTAAATGTTGGAATAACTTTACAAACATTTTATTTGGTACTTATGGGTCAGGATAGTCGATCCCATATCGTAATTAAAATAGAAATGTGACAGAATAAAGCGGTGGTGTATTCGGACATTCGTGTTTCGACAAATTAACATGGCAGTCGTATCATACCAGGTGTGAAGTTAACCGGCAGTAGCAGCTTTTCAGTGGCAGTGGGACAGAATCTTAACAGAACAGCCCCCTTTTTAAGTATTCAGAACAGGATCCTATTCTGCTTAAATTTAAACTGTTCACAGTTTAATTTTGTTGCTGTTTTGTTTGCTTTGGATTAATTTAATATGCAATAACACTGACAAATAAGAGTAGAAACGTACCGTATTTTCTTTAGAATTTTATAACTTTTTAGTATTACCTGTTTTAACTTTATCTATTTGTGTCGGTTTAGTATTTAATTTTTTATTTGATAGTTGAATAAACATAATTCATAATTTTAGTTTAAAGTAGTGTTCGCACGTCTTTTTTTCTGATTTCNCGCCCGCCATCTGTTGACGCATAAGGATAAGTCTCAGGTCCGGATGCATCGGTGTGACAAGTGCGAATTCGAAACGAAGCATAAAAATTCTCTGAGGCGGCACCAGTCGATGCACAAGTGACGTTCGGGGGTGTGATTGTTGTAATGAAATTTTGAGAAGTGGTAAATTTACTGTAGCGTAAATAAAATTCACAAAATGGGTGAATATTCTGTTTACTCACCTGATTTTTACAGCATATGACATACTTGAAATCAATGGCATTTAAAATTTCTAGTTCTAAGCTTCTCGCTCTGAGTTTGTTCATGTCCAACATTTGAGTATTGACATTGAAAGCTCCCAGAATCTTTTAAATGTTGAAACAATTTTACAAACATTTTATTTGGTACTTATGGGTCGGGATAGTCGATCCCATATCGTCTTCTTGCAACAGTATAAACACAAACGCAAAAATACATTGCACTATCACAAACATTGAAATAACTAACTTTATAAGGTTATAAATTACAGTATATCAAGACAGTTTACAAACTAAAATAAAATTGTAGCAGAATGAAGCAGAGGTGTATTCAGACATTCGTGTTTTGTCGAATTAACATGGCAGTCGTATCATACCAGGTGTGAAGTCAACCGGCTGAAGCAGCTCTTCAGCGGCAGTGGGACAGAATCTTAACAGAACAGCCCCCTTTTTAAGTATTCAGAACAGGATCCTATTCTGCTTAAATTTAAACTGTTCATAGTTTAATTTTGTTGCTGTTTTGCTTTGGTTTAATTTAATATGCAATAGCACCGACAAAGAAGAGTAGAAACGAACCGTATTTTCTTTAGAATTTTATAACTTTTTAGTATTACCTGTTTTAACTTTATCTACTTGTGTCGGTTTAGTATTTAATTTTTTATATGATAGTTGAATAAACATAACTCATAATTTTAGTTTAAAGTAGTGTTCGCACGTCTTTTTTTCTGATTTCAAAAAAACGAAAATTTGCTCCGCTTCACCCGTTGCACACGAACATTAGGTAAGTGCACTTTCAACTTTCATTTTAGTTCACTTTTCATTTAATCACGTGCTTTCTACTTTACATAGTGGCAGTAAAGTAGAAAAAAAAACAGTTCAGCTAAACTATGTCGATGTCGGTCATCGACATAGATTAAAAATTAAATTGAAACGATTTTAAAAAAATATTTCATATCAATCAGATTAGTAAGTATTTATTGTTTTATTAGTATTATTTCATCAAAAAAATTAAGAGAGCAGAAAATTATCCAAATTTTTTTAGTGATTTTTAAAGCTGAGGTATCGATGACTTCACTCAATAGCTGATATATCAATGAGAAATAATCATACAAAAAATAAAGCAAGTTGAAACTGAAGAATCAGGCCCTGACATTGATTAGGCCAGGAAAAATTTTTTTGAGCCTGTGGGCTATTTTGAAAACAAAAAAATTTGTAAAATTATTCACGAATTTACAGACTGTCAAAAATCACTAAAAAAAATTGTAAATTTTGTTCTGGAGTTTGTGTACCAATAACATTTAAAAACAGTTCAATTTTTAAAAATAATGGAATGTGTTTTTAATGTTTGGCGCGTTTTAAACGGGTGTTCCTTGCCGTGACGTCATTCAGTGCGACGATAATTGTGAAACTGAATAGGATAGATCGGCCAAGAGCATGAGCATAGCAATTAGGGTTTTGAAACAGCTAATTTTACTTTGCCTTGAGGCTTTCGCTCGCACTGATTAACGTCACAATACGTCTGATCATATGAAAAGATTTTACATAATTTTAAACATCTGTAATCAATTTGTAGCAATGAATAAACTAATTTTCTCACCATTATTACCCGTCAATTATAAACTACTAATTTATGCATAAATGAAAAAAATTATGCTAAAGAAATTAAATTTTAATCAAGTTGCCCATTATAATCAGAACTACAATTCTTATAAAAGATAAACCCATAACTATAAATAATAATACGACTATATGTATAGGGAATACTAAAATATAATTTAATTTACATTTTATTTTGTATCGGCACCATACAAAAGTATTATATTACATAAAGTGTCATGTTCTACATATTCGTAAACATTAAATAAACCATGATTTAATTGTACTTAGTTTTACTTTGTAAAAGAGGAAAAAGTACTGCCATTATCGTTTATTTGCAATATTGCAATGAAAATAACGTCCAGACTACTTATGAAATGGCTATGCATTTTCATCCTCCGCAATTTTACATAAATTATAATCCATGGTTGGAATAATAAAGGGTTTAGTATGAACTGTGTTTCAGTTAACATCGATTTCATCCTAATGACAAATTTAAAATCGCGACCTGTACATTCGAGAAACATTTCAAATAAAGGAGCCAATAAAAGTCGAAATGATCAAATTTGAGAAATGTGACTCCAAGACTAAAATTCCAAGGCTGTTGGACCTGGAAATTCTAGACGTACTGTAAGGTACATCGGCCAAGAGAAATTAGTGACAATAGAAATAGTGACTATCTGGCTAAATACGCAATCGCCATATTTTGAAGAGGAAGAAGAAGTTTCAGTTGTTACGATGACTGACGTTCAAATAATTTCGTGTAGGCTTTGCGTTAAAACTATAACCGATAAAAGTTTTATAATAGACAACGTTACTAGAGACATTCTAGACGTTCTTTTACTGAAATTGGTAAGTCGGTGTAAGGTGTTCGTTTCTACTTTCTCAATTCGTCCACCTCTCAGCAACCACAACATTGTTATAGCGATTAAACAGTAACAGTAATCAATATATATTTTTTACTTAGTTGTTATTTTCTGCCACACTTAATTTGTTTCTGTTTACTTAAAGTTGCATACATTTCAGAAATTTGATTGAGAGCAAAAGAGTTTATATGTAATGCTTGCAGAATAAAATTAAATGCAGTATTAGAATGTAAGTCATCCGTTGTGAATATCGATAACACAATTATTCCTCATGTGGATAGTGAAAAAATGTTACAACTCGACTTAAGAGAAGTGTATATGAAGGAAAAGGGAAGTGAGTTGTTAATGGATGTTTCTGACAGCCAGAAAATATGTCGATTGTGTATACAGCCAGTAGAACGTGAGTTTAGGTGTATATGTGAAGAGGAACTTGAAGCTATTGAGAAATTGGCTACTGAAATGGTACGAATGAATGATATTAAATACTTGCATTTATCCCAATATAATGAAACTATTTTGCAGAATATAAATATCATCAAAAATCCTGTTGTATGTAAACCATGCTTCGATTCTATGTGTACTCACAATAGTTTCCTAAAAAACTGCTTAAAAGTACAGGAAACAATTAGAGGTACTATTGATAGTTCAACCATAGAAAGCCAAATGGATACGTTACTGTCTGATTTATTCGTTAAAAGTGAAAACCTTGACAAATAATTCGATATAAACGAGATGGAAATGTCAATCAAACAAAACTGAAAGTATAGACATAAAAGCTGAAAATGAGGAAAGGAGGTTGGTTCATGTTCTTTGTAATTTCATAAAGAAACACACTTTCGATTTTCATAAATATGAGTAAAAAAAAAACGCACGTGTGGGTGATAGAGTTCGAGTGGATCGACACAGTAAATATTTGCGGAAATCATAACACGCGCATAGCAGACCGAGCATTGTTTGGAAATTTAGATAAACGTTTCGATGCACAGTAATGGATTGCATTCAACTTGTGTTTATTAGTGTGATTCAATTTGGAATAATAAAATAAAATGGGAAAGTTTCAAATGAAGTATATTTTTTTGAAACCTTTTTTTATTTATTATATTTTTTACAATTCCACATTGAACACTTATCAAATGCCGAAAAAAAAATTGTTAATAAAATGCATATAAAAAAATGCATGAAGATTCACATGGGGTATCGATTTATGTAAATTAATGCAATTCATTTTAACTCGATGAAATACGGCATGTGAAGAAAAGACCGCAACAAAACTGAACAGTATAATTAAAAAAAAAAAATTCTCAAAATTATAATTTTTTTAATTTCAACATTTGGACTTTTGAAATGTTCAACGTGAAATTGTAAAATAAGTAACTAAAAAAATGTTTTGGCCATACGGTGCACTATTGCGTCGGGAAGCCTTGTCGTGAATGTCGTGTAAAGACAAGTTGCACTTCATTTGGCGAAACACCCACAGGTATTTCGCGTATCACCACCCTAAGCGTTTTTTCTTAGTTGAGGGTGAAAGAGTGGTACTCCTCGCCTTTGTCTGTCAGTGTGGCACGAGTCAGACGTCTCTCTTGCCATATTTTGAAGAAGAAGATGAAGTTTTAGGTGAGGTTATGTTAAACATAACACGAATTAATCGAATTATATAAATTTGGAAGAAAATATGTTGCAATGACCAGTGTTCAAGCAATTTCATGTAGGCTTTGCCTTAAATCCATAACCGATAAATGTTTTGTAGTAATAGGTAGTGTTACTAGAGACATTCTAGATGTTTTTATGCTGAAATTGGTAAGTCGATGAAAAAAGTTCATTTCCATTTTCGTACACCTGTCAGTAATCACAACTCGTTTATAACGACTTACCTCTAACAGTAGTCAATTTTATTTTTACTTGGTTGTTATTTTCTACCACACTTTGTTTCTATTTAATTAGAGTTGCATATATTTCAGAAATTAGATACAGAGGGCAAAGAGTTTATATGTAATGCTTGCAGAAGAAAGTTATATGCAGTAGTAGATTTTAAGTCAACATGTCTCAAAACCGATACTACAATTATTCCATATGTGGATTGGGAAAAAATGTTACAGCTCGACTTAAAAGAAGTGTACGTGAAGGAAAAGGGAAGTGACTTGTTAATGGATGTTTCTGACAGTCAGAAAATATGTCGATTGTGTATGCAGCCAGTAAATACTGAGGTTATGTGTATACGAGAAAAGGAACTTGAAGCTATTGAGAAATTGGTTCCTGAAATGGTAGGAATGATATTAAATACTTGCATTTATCCCAATTTTATAAAACTACTTTTCAGAATATAAATATCATCAAAGATCCCGTTGTTTGTAAGCCATGTTTCGATTCCGTGTGCACTCACAATAGTTTTCTAAAAAACTGCTTAGAAGTAGAAGAAAAAATTAGAGGTATTATTGACAGTTCAACAATAGAAATGAAAATGGATACTTCACCATCTGATTTATTCGTTAAAAGTGAAAACCTGGACAAAGAATTCGATATTATCGAGATGGAAATGTCAATTAAAGCTGAAATTGTGGACATAAAATCAGAAGATGAGGAAAGGAGGTAAGAAAAAATTTTTAATATCAATCTAATATGATTGTTGGAAGCGATGAAAAGTAAATAAGTTGAGATTATGATATGGTTGTTGTCAACTATTTATCAACATGTTAAAAATAAAAAATTTGCTCTAAAATATCGACACGGACTTTGAAAGCCATTTTAGAGCAACTAAGGAAAATATTGAATTTGTATCTAAACGATATGATGTGGCAGAGTTTTAGCACAGCATATGCAAATTCAATCGAACGGAAATCACTTTTTCACTACACCTTCACGTGGGTCATAAGACTTAAGTGGGCAGTTTATAGTTTTCTCGAAACAGCTTAAGGTACAAAAAACATTTTAGTGTAACAAAGTAGCAACAGAAAAGTAAGAAAAACTCTAATACTTTTTTTGCAGGCTGCTAAAAGTGCTCTGCTCATGTATATACATACATAAATATCTAAAATTATCAATGATATATTTTGTTTTCCACATATCCTCAATACAAACTCGACTTCATAAAAAATTTGATTTAATGATAATAAAAATTAAATAATGCTTTGTGAATTTGAGAAACATATAAATGCAATAAATTGAGACCATAAAATTAAGACCATGCTTTGGAAAATACCCTGTATATGTAATTTTTTCAGCGTCACACAGAATTCCAATAATGAGCCGTTCGAGGAGAGTGACTGTAAAGATGTAGAAGAAGATTTATGTAAACATGAGAATGATTCAGAAATGAGAACCAAGCGGAAGCATAAAGTATTGTATAAATGTGATAAATGTGTTTACGAAACTGAAAGCAAGAGCAGTTTTACAGCACACTGTGCGAAACACGAGAACTATTCGGAAGCGTATAAATGTGAATCGTGTAAGTTTGAAACTGAAAATAAGAAATTACTTCAGTGGCACCGGTTGAGGCATAAATCTTCCCCAGAACTACTTGTGTACCAGTGCAAATCATGTAATTACAAGACAAATCATAAATCCTACCTTGCTAAGCATCAGGTGAAACACAAAAGTGCATCTACAGCGCGATTGTACAAGTGTAGGTTTTGTGATTTCAAAACAAAGTGGAGGTCCAGCCTTCATAATCATTATAAAAAACACAAAGACTCAAACAAATGTGACGAGTGTGATTGTAAAACCAAATACAGTGCATTGCTACATGAGGACACTTCACAACAGCCCAATTATAAATACAATGGTTGCGACTGCAAATCAAAAGATAAGACACTTTTTACCCGTCATCTGTTGATGCATAAAGATGTCTTGCAAGTCAAAATATATAAGTGTAACAACTGCGATTATGAAACTAAATACAAAGGTAATTTGAAACTGCATCAGGTGAGGCATAAAGATCCTTCACAAGTTCAAATGCACGGGTGTGACCACTGCGATTACAAAACTATATATAAGAGTCTTATGAACCGGCATCAATTAAAACATAAAGATTCTTCACAGGTTCAAATGTACGCATGTAATGACTGCGATTACAAAACTAAATATGAGAGTGACTTCAAACAGCACCAGCTGAAACATAAAGATCTTTCTCAGGTTCAAATGTACAGGTGTAACGAATGCAATTACGAAACTATATACAGGAGTTATATCAAAAAGCACCAACTGAAACATAAAGATCCTTCACAGATTCAAATGTACAGTTGTAATGACTGCAATTACAAATCTAAATACAAGAGTACTATCAAACAGCATCAGCTGAAACATAAAGATCCTTCTCAGGTTCAAATGTACAAATGTAATGTATGTGATTACGAAACTATATACAGGAGTTATATCAAAAAGCATCAACTGAAACATAAAGATCCTACTCAGGTTCAAATGTACAAGTGTAACAAATGCGATTACAAATCTATATATAGGAGTTATATCAAAAAGCACCAACTGAAACATAAAGATCCATCACAGATTCAAATGCACCAGAGTCACAATTGCGATTACAAAACTAGAAGCGAAAGTGCTATGAAGCAGCATCAACTGCAACATAAAGATCCTTTGCAAGTTCAAATGTACAGATGTAATGATTGCAATTACAAAACTAAATACAAGCAACATATCAAACGGCACCAACTGAAACATAAAGAATCTTCACAGTTTGAATTGTACACGTGTAACGATTGCAGTTACAGATCCAAATACAGGTGTGATGTCAAACGACACCAGCTAAAACATAAAGATCCTTCTCAGGTACAAAGGTACAGGTGTAATGACTGCGATTTTGAAACTATATACAGGGATTATATCAAAAGGCACCAAGTGAAACATAAAGATCCTTCACAGATTCAAATGTACAGGTGTAACGACTGCGATTATGAAGCGAAATACAAGAGTTATATCAAACAACACCAACTGAAACATAAAGATCCTTCGCAAGTTCAAATGTACAGATGTAATGACTGCAATTACACAGCTAAATACAAGCACCTTATCAAACGGCATCAACTGAAACATAAAGATTCTTCTGAGGTTAAAATGTGCAGGTGTGACAATTGTGGTTACAAAACTATATGCAAACGTGATATGAAACGGCATCAACTGAAACATAAAAAGTCTTCTCAAGTTCAAATGTAGGTGTAAGGACTGCAGTCACGAAATAAAATACAAGAATACTATCAAGAGGCATCAACAAACGCATATAGATTCTTTGTAGGTTCAAATGTACAGGTATGACTGTGATTGTGAACCCAAATACAGGACCTTCCTTAAATGTAAATTTATCAGTGTGCTTTGATAAGAACCAAGCACAAAAAGTCTGAGAAGACCTCAATTGGTACACGAAAAACGTTGACAGGTGTGATTTGCCGCCCATTGGAGTTCAAAATATAGTCAAAAATGCAGGCATTTGAAAGTGACTTTTGCGAATATGACACCAACTCTAAATATGTGAATGTGAAGAAAAACATGATATCTGCCATCAACAACATCAGTTTGTAACACGAAAAACTTACCCAAACAAAAGCTAACATTTTCCTGTTCAAAATATAGTCAAAAATGCAGGCATTTGAAAATGACTTTTTCGAATATAACACCAACTCTAAATATGTGATTGTGAAGAAAAACATGATATCTGCCATCAACAACATCAGTTTGTAACACGAAAAACTTACCCAAACAAAAGCTAACATTTTCCTGTTTTTTCACAGTATGACTATTGACCCGTTATATTATTTTAAGTGTGTCTATATATTTTAAAAAGCAACATTGTTTACGTATGTAGAACATGGTATTAATAAAAGATAGTTTATTTTGAAATTACGTGCATAATTTTTTTAATGAAAAGCTGTTGAGAAGATTTCGCTGTGGTATTTATATACACGGAACAAAATTTGAGACTCGATCATTTTATTCAAAATTCAAACAAAGTCCGATCTGAAAAAAAGTTACTCTTTATTTCATGTTTAAATTTCGATTTTACATGACATTTCATTTTGGCTGTCCAGTTACGAAACACCCGCTATATGTGCTGGGTGATTTACAAAATGCTGAGCAGGCACAATTTAGAAAAAGGAAAGATCCATTTAGTTCAGCATGAAAACCGGGAAAAGTCAGGGAATTCATTATTCTTTATAAAAAACAGGGAATAGTCAGAGAATTTTAAAAGTATTCATGAAATTCAGGGAATTTGATGTTTGCAACTGGAAATTTTGTCGAAGCCAGCCCTGTATTCTTGAAAGAGAAAACTATTCGCGGTTTTGAAAGCTTTATAGGTTCTTTGGGTATAAAAAAGATTATATGGAGTCCAGTCAAAAAAGAGTTTAATGCATAAACTTCAATTAGTATGTAAAAATGAAGTACACGTAAGTGTATTTTCAACTAATATTTTAGTCTATTTTTCATTTAATCAACACACAACTCGTTTCTGCTTGACATAGTGACAGTAGTATACTTAGGCGCCGACTTTTAAAACTTTTGTCGGGTGCTCGGTTGCCTTATAAGCATTTTTTTGCGATAACATTAAAAAGCAAGAGAAATGAGTCGTCATTTGAACTAGCATGAGGTATAATATTTAAAATACGTATTTCTCCAAATTAGATTTTATGAAAAACTTTTTAAAAAATATTTCGAAATTAATTAAACTTGTCAAATTAAATAAACTTTATTACTGTTACAATTTTAATAATTGTAACAAAAAATAAACTTCTATGGAATAACAAGTGAAAATATAAATATATGTATTATGTAGACGTAAAAGTAGGTAGCACAGAAATATACTATTCTAACAAAACTGATAATAGTTCTTGCGGAGCACCCGAGAAGTCGGCGCCTATGGTAGTATAGTTCAGCTAAACTAGGTCGATGTCATAGGTCATCGACATAGATTAAAAATTAAATTGATGCGATTATAAAGAAATATTTCATATCAATCAGATTAGTAATTATTTTTATTTATCGTTTTATAAGTATTATTTGCAATTAGTAATATACACTCAGCAAAACAATTATGGGAGCAGAAAAGCTTCCAAATTTTTTTAGTCATTATTGAAAAGCTGTAACTTAGCGGCGACGAACACCCGTTTAAAAAATAAGTGTCAAGCATTCAAAACACATTGTATTGTTTTTGAAAGTTGAACTTTTTTTAAATGATCTATTAAATATTATTGGTACATTGTTAAAATCAGTGGAAAAATTAAGCAGTACATAAATTTGCAATTTTGCGGAATTTTTCTCACAATTTCGCGTTAAATATTCATCAAGAAAAGTGAAACAGTTGTAACATTTTATTCGCCACAACCTTACTGCTTGTTGTGAAATACCATTTTTGATTTGGTAAAGGCTGTCAATTTTTATAATGTCTGAAGTTTGTAATTTATGTACAATTCCTTTAACCAAGAAATCGCCTGGAATACGCTGCGATGGTTCTTGTGGCCTTTTTTACCATCTGAAGTGTGTGAATATCACAGTGGACCAGTTAAACGTTCTGAAGGCTATTCCTAACACCACATGGAAATGTACTAACTGCCAGACCACTTCATCTTTGAACACTGTTGCTGATCCAGGTGAATCTTTAAACAATCAGAATTTGTTGTCATTTATGATGGATATTAAAAATAATTTGAATGATATGAAGATTAGACAAGACGAACTTATAGTATCTGTTTCTTTTTGTTCTGATAAAGTCTCCGACTTTGAACACGCACTATCAAGTATTAACAATCACATAAAAACGATTGAAGAACTAAAACAAGACAATGTGCAACTAAAGGAAGATATAATGTCTTTGAACTTTCGTTTTAATGATTTAGATCAACATACTAGACTTAATAATTTGGAAATACAAGGTGTTCCTGAAAAACGGAATGAGAATTTACTCGGCGTTATTGTTAGAGTGTCAGAATTTCTCGATCTTAACCTAGATACCAACTGTATTGACTCAATATATAGAGTTCGATCGTTTAATCCTGAAGTTCCCAAGAGTATAATAGTTAAATTCAGCTCCTCAAATATAAAAAATCTTATTTTAAATGCAGCCAAAGCAAAGAGAATTTCTAGCCCTAACCGAACACTAGCAGTTGAAGGTGTTTCCAATAATTTGTATATTAATGATCACCTAACAGCTGAGAATAAACTTTTATATAAAAACACTAGACTTACAGCAAAAGCCAAAGGCTATAAGTATATCTGGCTGAAAAACTGCAGTATTTTCGTTAGAAAGAACGACTCATCAAAAATAACGCTGATTAAAAATTCAGACCAGCTTGGTAATTTGTAAGTTCAATTATTGTATTCACTATTATTATTTCTTATCTTTGTATGCTTTACGGATCATCAGATCATCTATCTGTGGCTTATCAAAACGTTCGTGGGCTAAGATCAAAAACAGCTCAATTTAAATTGAATACAGTGAACAGTAATGCCGACCTGATTTTTCTGACGGAGTCGTGGTTGAACAATAGTGTGTCCGATAGTGAAATTTTTACTAATAGTCACTCTGTATTTCGGCGCGATCGCGATAGTTCTGATAGTGGTAAACGTGATGGAGGTGGGGTGCTAGTGGCAGTACGATCCGACATACAGGCACTGAGAAGATTTGATTGGCAAAGCGAAGCGGAGGATATTTGGGTATCACTTGTAGTCGACAAGAGAGTTAAAATACATTTATGCTGCGTTTATTTACCTCCAGCTGACATCTATGCCGCTGCTTGCTTTAGTAATAATCTTTATAAACTGTTCACTTCTCTACCTGATGACATTTTTCTCATATGCGGTGATTTCAATTTACCTAGTGTCAATTGGGTCTCTGTAAATAATTGTTTACACTTCACTCCTTTAAATGTTGATCAGAGATCTTCTACATTAATAGACACATTTTCCTATTGTGGGTTAAAACAATTTAATTCAGTATTAAACATTAACAATAGATTATTAGATTTAATTTTATCTAATTGTGATAACATATATAGTTTACAATATTGCAACAGTTCATTTGTTGATGAGGACGCTCATCACCCATGTCTNCTGGTAAATGATAACTTTATTTCACTGTGTATATATATCATCAGTTTGACCGTGACTCTTATTACATCCGGCCGACGTTCGTTATTCTTATCGCATGCTGTCTAGACGCTACGTGGTCACAATTTTTGCTAACATTACAATTATAAAGGAAATAATATATCAGGTTACAGTTTATACTTAAAGGCAAGTCTGAACCTGTAGGAAACAGGTCTGAACCTGTAGAGGACAAGTCTTAAATTGAGGTGACCTTGACTAGGTGACCTTGACCCCAGACGATCAGAGGTCATGACCTTGACATGTCCTTGACGTGACCTTGACCCTAGACGACCAGGGGCCGATGACCTTGACTTGACCTTGTCCCCAGACGACCAGGGGTCATGACCTTGACTTGGCCCCAGACGACCAGCGGTCGATGACCTTGACTTGACCTTGAGTTGACCTTGTCCCCAGACGACCAGAGGTCGATGACCTTGACGTGACCTTGACGCGACCTTGACCCCAGACGACCAGAGGCCATGACATTGACATGCCCTTGACTTGACCTTGACCCCAGACGACCAAAGGTCGATGGCCTTGACTTGACCTTGGCGTGATCTTGTCCCCAGACGACCAGAGGTCATGACCTTAACCTTGACCCTAGACGACCTGGGGTCGATGACCTTGACGTGACCTTGACCCCAGACGACCTGAGGTCGATGACCTTGACGCGACCTTGACCTCAGACGATCAGAGGTCGTGACCTTGACTTGACCTTAGCGGGACCTTATCCTCAGATGACCAGGGATCGACGACCTTGACTTGACCTTGACGTGACCTTGACCCCAGACGACCAGAGGCCATGACCTTGACATGCCCTTGACTTGACCTTGACCCCAGACGACCAAAGGTCGATGACCTTGACTTGACCTTGGCGTGACCTTGTCCCCAGACGACCAGAGGTCATGACCTTGACTTGACCTTGACCCTAGACGACCAGGGGTCGATGACCTGGACTTGACCTTGACTTGACCTTGACCCCAGACGACCAGAGGTCGATGACCTTGACGTGACCTTGGTCTAGAATGATGCAATACTGGATAAGAATGACGCAATGCTGTTTTGAGGTCATTGGCCTAGAATGATGCAATACCAGATAAGAATGACGCAATGCTGTTAAAGGAAATAATATATCAGGTTAAAGTTTATGCTAGCGTGACAGTATTAAAGGAAATAATATATCAGGTTACAGTTTATGCTAAAAAACAGGTCTGAACTTGTAGAAACTTGACCTCGAATGCTGCAATACCAGATAAGAATGACGCAATGCTGTTTGGAGGTCATTGACCTGCCCTTATCGTGATTGAATTTTAAATTTACCACCATCTGGCCATGTGACGTCACTTACATGCCGCCATGACACTTCCTGTATGACGATACTTCCATGCCGCCATGACACTTCTTGTATGACGTCACTTCCATGCCGCCATGACACTTCTTGCATGCCAACACCCACGCATCTCTTGCACAACGACAATGCCCACAAGAAGCCGCTGAAGGAGCGATGGACACTGGCTATCGAGTTCGTGACGTCATTTAGTGTGGCGCAGAAAAAGTGGCGCAGAACCGGCCTCATATATCTACTGTAATCCCTCAATTTTTTGTAAAAAATGTGCAAATTCCCTTTGTAACCCTCTCACTTTGTTATTTAACAAGTCTCTTGAAGAAGGAGATTTTCCTGACATATGGAAGCAAGCTT